GGGAAAATAAAATGTAAAACCAAGCAGTGTATAGTTTTAAAATAAGAGGGAAAGCCATCTTCAGATTTATCCCTGCTGGAAGGATTTAGCAGTGTGATTGACATGGCTGTTTGAGTTCACTCTGTCTCTTGGTAGGTTCTAACATTGAAAAATCAGTGAAGGATCTCCAGCGCTGCACCGTTTCACTGGCTCGGTACCGGGTTGTGGTGAAGGAGGAAATGGATTCTTCCATTAAGAAGATGAAGCAGGTCTTTGCTGAACTGCAGAGTAGGTAAGTTAAATGTAGGGACAGATCCGGGTGTTAAGGCTTAAGACCAATACATTTCGAATAAGACTTCAGCTTTCCAGTCAGGTTAATGGCTTGCTTGTGTTTGCCCTACCGCCCAAGCACTGTTCTTCAGCGTTTGGGAGGTCAGCATGTCATAAAGAATAAACTGGAGTCTGAAGTCCAGTACTCTGCAGTTTTTAGAAGCCACCTTTTGTGGGCAGCTTTGCAAGGCCTGCGTTCGAGCTGTCGTCCCACACTTGTGGTGGGATGTTAACAGGCTGTTCAAGGCTTTGGTGTGTCCATCAAGGTCTTTGATGAACTGTGGCTCCATGTCTGTACAAGACAGTTGTTCTGACCATCATAAAGTCATTTTAGACGCAGATAATATGAGGAACTCGCGAGATAACATACTGTCAGTTAGGTACGAATATTAGCTGTGCTGGAAGGAGAACTGTTGGGAGCTCAGGGTGCAGTAGTATGTGTCTTTTAGAAATAAACATTCATATTTGAAATCTTCAAATTACGGTTGAATATAACATGGAAGAGAGGGATCCTTTTGAAGGTATAAGTACACATCAAAGATGATCCTTTTGTGCAGCATTGCTTCCCCCGTTTTAAGCCAAGCTTTTAATACCGTGCATGATGTTCCCTACGAGTGTAATCGGGTCTTATTTTAATCACCATCTTTATTGGTTTGGATAAGTGCTTTAAGATGATATTCCAAAATGCCTGACATCAGATACACTCACTGTCTTGGCTGATTGAATCTATTACTGAGAAATTGTTCTTCTTGGTTATACAAATATGATTGCTTTTGGTAAAGAAATATTTATAAGAAACTGCACAGAGAGTTCTCCTTGCCTAAAGTGAGTAACATTTGACAAGTAACTAAAATGCTGCTATCGCATTGAAGGATTAAAGTAGATATTTGGCAAACTTGCAAATCTGTGTCAAAAGCTGTCTCTGTCTGAAAACTGTATGTGGCCTCAAATGCAAGCGTGTTTAGTGGTAGTGATGTAGAGAGCTGTATTCTGAAGCCTTCTAGCAAATTTAGTTGCTCAGTGTGGACTTTTTTTTGCACTTGTACTTGCGATGAACTTTGCCACCGGGAAGTGCTCTCCTGAAGTAAGTGGAATGCTGTCCTGTATTTAAATTCAGCGTATGCTAAAAATACTGACAAAAATGTTTATAGATGACTTTTAAACTTACCTGAGGAGACTAGACCAAAGCGAAGGGATAGGGTTAAAGCTGTCCATCTGCCCTGACCTGTGTTTTCCTGGTAAGAGTTGTGGTCTCCAAGCCGAAGCCGGACGTGGAGCTCCCAGCACCTCCCGTCTTTTTGGAAAAGCTGCAATGTAAGGGGATTTACCTTGTCAGTAGCTGAGGGATTTGTACCCCTAACTCAAGTTTGCTTTTATGAATATTATTTCTTACTTTGTTAGTGGCTTTGTCTGCTGAGTCAATACTGATTCAATATTATCACTGTATTCAGTGGGTTTTTGTTGTTAAGTTTTTTGTCTGCCTCCTCTATACAGTTACAACATCTGTAAAAGCCTCTCCCTGGTATGGAAAATGTCATTCTTTTGGCTAACGTGTCTGGTTCCATATACGTAATTCCTCACCCTTTGACTTATGTTATCATCTATAAAACATTTGCGTCATGTTCAGAAAGGTTAAAGACTCAAGTCCAGTCCCGCAGCATTGCTCTGATAAGCTGAGCCGGCAGTGGGTGAAGCAGGACGTGAGGTTCCGTGAGCGGGGAGGCGAATGTCTGCCTGGAACGGGGCCACCGGGAACCTCCTTCGACAAATGCCAAGTGAAAGAGCTGCCCAGCAGATGCCAGGTCTGCGCAATTGATAAGCGGTGACTCTGCAGCCGGGGCCGTTCGGCTCCGCAGAAAGAGATTCACTTTCCTTTTCCTGAAAGTGATGCAGTTGCCAGTGAGCTGAGATGTAAATTGTACCTTCACATTTTTTGGTTGTTGTTTTTTTGTTTTTCCAACTCCCTTCATGACCCAGAGAATAATTAGCGTATTTTTAAATCCTACAACACAAAGCAGTTAAATCCTCCAGCTGGCTTTCTACCAAAGGAAAACCTGGTTTAAAAGCAGGTTTGTTCGACTAAAACAGGATATTTAAGTAGCAAAGCTTGGACTGGTTTAACTTCTGCCTGTCAGGGCTGCCCTTCGGATGTCCTTTTAACCAGTGAGGCTTCCTAGAGTTCCTGACCTTCATCTTCTCTCACTAGACAACATGCTTATATTAGACCTGTGGTCTGTCGGTAGATGAGGGTGAAGAAGGAGACTCTAATGCTGGGGTCATGCCTATCTCAATCTCTGAAATCAATCCTGTTTGAGTAGCAGATGTAGTGGTAGCTGCTTTGGCTTCCTATTTTGAGAGGATTTGCTCCTCTGGGCTGGAGATGATCGGGTAACCTGAACTAGGGAATCCTCATAGTCCTTAATTTCTTGAATATTTTGCTGTCCGCTGACAGGGAAGGTAGCACATCAGGAAAAAAACCCCGAGCGTTTGTGAGTGGTGTGGGTAAGTTCAACTTCAGCGCCGTGTGCTGAGGTGGGTGTGGGGCAGGGTTTGAGGTTTCTCACTGCTGAGATCGCTGCTGCGTGCCTCGTGCTGTGGATCGCCCTTGCTTCCTTGTGGCAGAGCTGCCAGGCGTGCTTCCAACCGCCTTCGATTGCAGTCAATCTTTGAGATCGTTGTGTTTCAGCCCCAAGGAAAACTGCCCCCAAAACCCTCAGCGTGCTTGTGCAAACAGCTGTTGTCTTTCACGAACAGACATCATCTTGCAGGCACTGCTCGACCGAGCTGGCTCGCAGCTGAAAGCATCTCTTCTAATGGTTGGGTCACAACCGAGTATTCAGCGTTGTTTCATCTTCAGCAGTTACCGGTTTATCTGCTTCCCTGTTTTCTTCCTTGTGCAATTCTTAAATGTCCTTTCTTAAAGCCCAGACCTTCTTAAATCTCCAGACCAGGCAGGGGCAGATGCGCTCTCCATCCTGCATGGGATCTTGTCCCAGGACAGAGCAGTGAAGAAAGGAAGGCGTGTTTCCAGACGGATCTGGCAGAAGGAAGTGAGTTTGTTTGACGAGAAGCCGTGCGGGATGGAGGAGCAGTGGGGTCTGATCCGAGTCACTCATCACGCGAACCTCAGGCAAAGCCACTTGACCTCTGTTCCTCAGCCAGCCCAACTGTAAAATTGGGTAAAGGACTCCAGCTGAGCTCTGCTGAGTAAATTAAATTACAAAGAGACGCAAGCTATGATCTCTGCCAAGGTGCGTGCGCGTTTGTGTGCGTGTGTGCCTGCAGCCTGGCGGAGAAAGCCCAAAATGGCCCATATAAAGTGGGAGTTGGCTCTGCAGGAGCTGGGTGTGAGCCTGTGTGTTCAGGGAGGAGGCGTTGGGGTAAGGCGTAGCGCAACCGAGTTCTGCAGCGCGAGAGCAGCAAGGCTGTTCCTGCACTTCAATTAATCATTAAGGCCGCATTCACACCCGTATCCCTCCGAGCTCCGGGGGGTTCCTGCTGCTGACGTGGCTCTGGGCAGAAGGCAGCTGGGGTATCTCCCTTTACCCTGCCCGTCGGTGTTGCAGAGCCAGATTGCACCGCTCTGGGGATGGCTGGAAACAAGGTGAAGTCTTATTAGCGTAGCTTTTGACACGTGTTGTTGTATTTGTGCGGTTGGGCTGAGAGTGCCTGACCTGGATCAGGCCCCTGCTGTGCTATGAGCAGAAACAATTCCTGCCCTGAAAAGGCAGATGGACAGAGCGATAAATCAACAGAAGAAGCCAAATGTCAAAGCTGCTGTTCAGAGGGAATTGTTTAAATTGATCTTGCCTCAGTCCTCTCTGACATGCAGAGGAGCAGGAGCGGTGGTTTGAGTTTGCATTTCAGATGCTCTGTGGTTTCCCTTTCAGATGGTCGCTAAAATAAATATTCTTCCCATTTTCAAGCAAACCTTTCTCACTAAAAAAGCATGTGGTTGGTGTTGAAGGGCTGACCCTGTGCCCTGCTGATATCTCTGAGTACCTTTTAGTGTCTGTGCTGCAAGTATCACACAGCTAACACGTGAGAGGAAGACTCTGCTTTTATATTTAGAAAGCAGAAACTGAAATGAATCCTATTAATAGGCTGGATGTTGAACGCATTCAAGCCGCTGGCAGCAGCTGAGCAAAGGTGAGCTGCAGCGGTGCAGGCTGAGGGCGTTGGAGGCATAGCTTAGAGCGAAGCACAAAAGAAGCATTTGCAGGGAGGGTGTCTGCAAGGGTCTGAATTCCTTATGGCGAAGACCAGAGCTCCAACCAGTACCTACCCCTGTCCAGAATGGGAGGACTGGTATTTCCTCTCCTGCTTCCATTGTAACCTGAGTTACTCGGTGTGCACATCTCCAGGGGAAAGGGCCCTCTTTGCACGGCCTGTGAGCAGCGGTTATGTGGAGCTCCCTGGATGCTCTGCCTTACTGGAGGGTGCTCGATAGCCTGAATTTGCTAAATTTGGCCAGGCGGTAGCTGTGCGGTTGTGCTTGCGTAAAGGCTGCCGCCGTGATGCCCGGGGGAATTGCAGTCTCATGGCAACAGACACACTTGAGGCATGCTGGAGCCTCCTGGCAAGCGGCGATGCTTCGCTGTGACCCACTCAGGTGTTCTCTCCGTGGCCAAAAAATCCTCAGACTGTAAGAGACTCCCGGATCGTGGACCTGCGTGGCTCTGGGTGACCTGCGGCTGCGTGGTGGCGACTGGCAGGAGGTCGTGTCCTTGTACCTGCTGCACCGTGTGGAAGGGTGTGCATGCTCTCGTGTGGGTCCCACAGCCCTGTGGGGATCAACAGGGTACGTGCCTCCCGAGAAGCGGCACAGAGCACCGGAATCCAGGTTTCTGGGTTGGTGGGACAATTTGGTAGGCTTTTAAATAAGCTAACGAGGGCCTAAGAGTGAAGCGTTGCTTCATAATGTGGCACCTGAGAGGCTGCCTTGGAGGGGACGGGTGCCCGAATGCCCTGTGTCCTGCTCCTGCTATCGTGGCTCCTTGTCCTGCCCCACTGCTCATTAGTTTTGTGTTTTAAGTGACTCTTTTTACGTTGTGCCCTAGTTTTCTTTGGTGATAAAGTTCAGCGGAGTGCAGCTTTCCCCAACACCACAGCTGCCGCTCCCTTTCTCCTTGCCAAGTGGCTCCGACTTTATCAGAGTAAGGTGACCATGTACCGGGTTGTTGGGAACGCTGCACCGTGCTCCACGCTGACCCAAGCCTCAGCAAGTT